ACCTAAAGCTTACTAGCATCCATATTTTATTATGTTTTTATATTTATTTATTAAATTTATATGCTGCCCACGTCACCCATAAAGCAACTCTGGGCGTTTTGCAAAGATAAACTATAAAAAAAAAAACCACAGCAAATTATGGTTTGCAAACTACCAAACTGGGTTAACACAATATCATCTCCTTTTAACGACCCCATAATCCCTTGCGGGGTGGAGTCTGAATGGAGCTAGCAGAGTGTTTACTGGCTGGATGCCCTTCCTGTTGCCAACGCGGAGTTTGGTTCAGCAGATATATGTTCTCATTGTGCCTCTAGGATTGAACTCACAGCCTCCTGATTGTGAGGCAAGAGCTCCACCTCTAGGCCACCGCACTACTCACTAACACAACATGCTAAGCCAAGTATGTGATGGTTTAGGACCAGTGGTCGCCAACCAGTGAGCTGGGAACCACTGGTGGTCTGCGAGAAAATTTTGGTGGTCCACAGAGAAATGTCACCCCCAAAGCAATTAATCCAGGCTTCGCAGGAACACAAGGCTGCACCACCCACATGGCCCGCGGAAACACAAGGCTTGTGTCCCTTGCATTGCAAACAACACGAGGTAGTGAGGGGAAGGGGGAAAGGGGGGAGGGGGGGAACTTGCCCCATTCTCCCCACGCATGTCGCCTGGCCACCGGGCTACTTCTTTCCGCTTCTTTCTTCTTCTGCTTTTGGCTGCACACAAGGAAAGCAGCAGAAGTCTTTCTTTCTCTCCCCCAAACTCTGCCAAAAATGAGTCTTTGGGACCCTGCAAGGCATCCCTGCTCCAAGAGGCTGCTCCATTCTGGCGGAGTTTGGGGGAGAGAAAGACTTCTGCTGCTTTCCTTGCATGAAGTCAAAAGTCTCTCCCCCCTCCACCACCACCCCGAGAACAGAGCTGGAGACATTATCCTGCGATCCCAAATAAAGAACGATCGATCAGTAGGAAAACGGGGTGGGGAATTTTCTTGCAGGCTTTTTGGAGGGGATTTTTCCCAGGGTGTCTGGTCCGCAGGATTTAAAATTATGAGTTTGGTGGTCCCTGAGGTCCAAAAGGTTGGCTGGTTTAGACTTAAGCGGTGAACCCAAACCTACATCTGCGTGTTTAGATTTGCCGTGCATCATTGGCCTTTCGGGAACAGAATAATAAAGAGTTGGAAGGTCCTTGAGCTTTGTGATCATATTTCTATCTTTTTTCAGGTGACAAAGAAGTTCCTCAAGCAAACGTCTTTCTGCTGAAGGGTTTCATTTGCATTGCTGTGAGTCTGGGCACCTGGAATGTGAAATACCAGCAGTGGACCTTGTGAACGTGGAACATAGTTTTCTACAGAAGGATCGCTTCCTAGCTAGAAAGGGGGCGGACGGGGGTGGGTGGGGAATCAAGCTGTCAGCAAGCTCAGAGGATTGCGAATCGCAGAGTTTGTCCTCTACTGCATCGGTATCCCGGCCGCTTCTCATCTTGGAGAAGGCTCAGAGATGGCCGGAGTTTGCCTGCTGCTACTGGTGTGTCTCCAGATGTGTGAGATTTATTCACAAGAAGGACGCTGGGAGGCCAGCTGGAAAAGGAACGACTCCGATGTCATGAGTGACCTGCTGGAGCAGTGGAAAAGGAACGACTCCGAGGCCCTGGAGGAGGATTGGAAGCAGCGGCTACCCAAAGGCATAATCATTGGAGTGAGGAAAGGGGGCACCAGGGCCTTGCTGGAGATGCTGAGTCTGCACCCCCAGGTGGCCGCTGCTCACTCCGAGATCCACTTCTTCAACCTGGAAGAGAATTACCGGAAGGGATTGGATTGGTACTGCCAACAGATGCCCAATTCCTACAGCAGTCAGATCACCGTGGAGAAAACGCCCGGCTACTTCGCTTCCCTAGAGGCGCCCGAACGGATTTACACCATGGACAGATCCGTGAAGCTCCTCTTGATTGTGCGGGATCCCGTGGAAAGGCTGGTGTCCGATTACACCCAGATCCTCTACAATCGTAAAGCCCGGCAGAAACCCTACCAGTCCCTGGAAGAAATCCTGGAAAGGGGTCAAGAGCTGAACACCAGCTACAAGGCCATGCAACGCAGCCTCTACGCCCTGCACTTGGCTCGGTGGCTGGAGTTCTTCCCGACCACACAGATCCACGTGGTGGACGGAGGCGGCCTCATACGGCAGCCGCTCTCGGAGATGCGTCACGTGGAAGAGTTTCTGGGGCTGGAGCCTTACCTGGGCCCCAACAACTTCTATTTCAACGAAACCAAAGGCTTCTTTTGCCTCCAGGCTGCAGGAGAACGGCACTGCCTTGACCCGTCCAAAGGCCGGCCTCACCCCACCGTGGATGAATTACTGCTGGAGAGGCTCTGCACCTATTTCAGTCAGCACAATGAAGACTTTTTTGCCATGGTGGGGCGGACTTTCAACTGGTGCTGACTGAGTCTGGCGTGGAGGCCAAGCTGGGCGTTCCGTGGATATTTCCACCAAAAACCTTCCCATTTTTCTTTCAAAATGGAAACTCAACTCTACCGCTGTATGGTAAAGCGGTTTGTAGAGTCAAACAGCCGAGCCTGAAGCTGGAGGTTTGAAGATCCTTGGGGAACCACTTGAGACACTTTATCATTTTTTTTTATAAAAGTGGCTTTAACTTTTCTAGCAATCCCAGCAGGTGAAGTTATGCTCTTTATGGTTATGTTCCTCCCCCCCACCCACAACCCCCCCCTTTAGCTAAAGCTATAGGATGTAGAGCCACTGTTCCTCCTGAAAATCTTGTATTGAATGAGCCACGGGGAAGCTCTGTTGCTAACCTATGCCCCCATATTCCCACAAACAGCTTGCAAGAATGGAATCCAGCGTCTTTTTTCTAGCCAACACTGGATTGACTCAACACTGTAATCCAAAGGTCTCCAAACTTGGCCACTTTAAAGACTTGAGGACTTCAACTCCCAGAATTCTCCAGCCAGTTATGCTGGCTGGAGGATTCTGGGAGTTGAAGCCCAGAAGTCTTAAAGTGGCCAAGTTTGGGATTCTGGGAGTTGAGGGCCACAAGTCTTAAAGTGGCCAAGTTTGGGGATCCCTGCTATAAACTAACTTATTTGCATGCCCATTTAGCTCATGCAGTTCTTACTGGCAGGGACTCCCAGAGTGTCAGGTAAGACTTTTTGGCATGAGAAATAATTTAGAGTTTAAAATCAGGCTTTTTTCCTCAGTGGCCTTTCTGTCCAAGAGACAGTGGCACTTTGATTGTGGGCCTTTAGTATTTCTTTCAATCAACACCTAAGAAATAATGAGTAACTTAAATTAATCCTGGAACCTACAGGTATTCCATTGCACTCACATCCATTTCAGCTATCTGCCTAAAAGTGTGGCCAAGTAACGATAACCTGTAGATCTTAGCAACAAGTGTATTAATTTCTGCACGGTGATTAATGCATTAAACAGCCTGCAAATTAGTTGTTTTCAACTCCTGACAAAAATAACCTTTCACTCCAATCAATCCTTTCTCTTTTATTTATCTGTTAGAAAACAGCCTCTTTCATTAGCAAAGCATTGTTGACATTGTTAATCCATCAGCAAAAAATAAGCATTTTAGGTATGGAAGTTCCAGAATCAGAATCGAGCCAGAAGGGACCTTGGAGGTCTTCTAGTCCAGCCCCCCTGTTCAAGTATTTCAGACAAGTGGCTGTCCAGTCTCTTTTTAAAAACCTCCGGTGAGCCTTTAGTAACAGAAGCCTCGTCTGTTCTGTAGCTGTCAGTCCAGGTTATCAGTTACACAGGAGAGGTATTGATTAATGTTCCTAAGGAAAGAAACACCCTCCTCCTACTATAGCAGTGCTCATCGGCTACCACACTGTTAGTGAAGGGGCATCTGGGGGGGAAATCCTATGCCAAATTCAAAGATCTAACTTTGTTATATAAATATCGCCTTTGTTAGGACAGCATTTTATTAGATTACCAGTTACCATGGAATCGGCAAATGTAACGCAAAGTCCCCATCCGCATCCAAATTGGCCATTGCATCTAACTTCCCTAAATAATTTCACCTCACTTTTACCATATGTAGCATTTTTTGAAAACTATTTTAATAAGGACAATGTTTATAATTTCTTACAATGCACAGGAATATAGTGAATAGTACTTAAAAAATACAAATAGCCATCCACACTGATAGGAATGGAGAAACCACCAAAATCCTATTTGACCTCCTTCAATCCAAATTTCTTAACAATAATCTCCTTTAAAGACTGTAAATCCTTATAGTTTTAGATATCCAAAACTGTAACTAAACTTATCTAAAATTACTAATCACTAATCAGAACAAACCTGGAATTATAACTGAGATAACATTTTATTCAAATTAATTTGAGAACAACTATAGTTAAGCCAAGAATTTGGAGATTTGAGATCATTCTGCCATGATGTTTAATCAGCAACACGCCTACAATTCTATTGCGTAAAGCAGTTCTGAAAATTAATAGTGGAAAGAAACACTGGTTCTTGTTTCGAGGGGTACCAAAATGGTAACCTTTCCAGTTGTAATCAAGGCAGCATTGCTCCTTTAGCATTTTGTTACAGATGAAGAGTTTTTCTGAACAAAACAAAATAATAATGAAACAAAAGCAACTGGGCTGGTGCAATAAGACAGCAGTATTCCCTGCCAAGCCACCACCTTCAGTGAGATTATCAGCCGTGAGCAGCAAAATTCAGGATGGGCATCTTTGCTAAGGTGACAGGGCGACACTTTCCATGTTTGTGCAACGTAGGAATTTAGAGAAAAGATTTTAGGCAAAAAGATTTTTTTTTTAAGTATTGTTAAAATTCATAAAAGTTATTTTAAGTGACATCAAAATCTGGACTTTGATTTCTATGTTAATAAGCAAGAGTAAACAAAGTTAATCATGATTGTGGCTATATCCAATTTTAGAATGTGTGACTGTTCTAAACATTTCAATTTAATTTTACTGGATTTATCCCTTGTATACCAGAATGACACACAAGAATAGGTTTTGTAAAAAATGGTTTTATCAGTTCCATTTTTGTATAAAACACATGGGAGAAACCTAGCCAATCAACACACAAATTGCTGCCACATAACAGGGTACTTTTTTTGTCAAACTTTAAATCTAGAACATACAAATGTTTTAAGTCTACAGTCAATTGTCTATGCTCTTCCATTTAACTATTCTTTTAAAAAAATTCCACATATCCCCATATTTCTTCTGTCCCAATTACAGTACAATGACAGGGAGGAAGCGGGCTGCCGGAAGCGCCTCTTTACGCAGTCTTCTGCTGTCCCTTCTTTCCAATCAAAGACTTGTGGATGTGAGGAATTACGCCTGCAAAGAGAGCAAAGGATGAGGAGACAGAGCCATGGTCACATCAAGATTTAAGACACTGATTAATACTTATACAACCCCATCGATGTCTCCTCTTCTTCCCTCCCCCATTCCAACTTCACATTTTCAAGCAACTATTATTCTTCAACCAATATTTCAATTTAAAAGGGTTTTCATGGAAGAGGAAAATGTCCTTCTACTGCTTGGAGGACCCTGAACAGGTTAAGAGTCGGAATGCCTAAATGTGAAACTAATACGCTCAAGTGGAGGCTCTTTGGGGATAACAACACAGTGTGTGAATGTAGAGAGACACAGAGCCAGGCCCATCTGCTGGAATGTCAACTACTACCAGAAACATGTACCAAGAATGACTTATTTTTGGCCGACAAAGTCAAGAATGTGGCTTCGTTCTGGCAGTTTAAAGATTGATCAGGATACGGAAGAGGAATAGAAGATGGAGTGTTCTTCAGGAAAGACTACACAATGTTTGTTCTGCGCTTCTATTAAAATTAACACTGGGAACACAGCACTGCTAAATAAATAGTCTTAATTTAATTAAAGACAAATCATAAGGATGAAAGTATAGAACTGATGTATATATAAAGCAATACCCTGTACAAAAATATGAGCTGGAACCTTTTATAATAATACAGAATTCAGAAGCTATGATGATACACACCTCCACCAGCAATGGTTGCTTTAATAAGGGAATCCAACTCCTCATCACCACGAATGGCAAGCTGCAAATGACGTGGAGTGATACGTTTTACCTTGAGATCCTTCGAAGCGTTGCCTGCCAACTCCAACACCTGTTGGAATAAATATAGCGGCATATTTTAGTTTCCTAGGTTTGTTTTTTTAAACAAGCTTAATTTACGTATTTTCATTTTTGCAAATAGTGGTAAACATTTTATAATTCTGGAGGAGGAGGAGTGGCAGAGTTAAGAGGGATCAGCCTAGAATCCCCATGTAGCCTTGGGATTCAGTTGAGCCTTATCTAACTCTAAGCAGGTGCTGACCATTAGCTGAGAAGAGCCCTGTGCATAGATTTTTAGCAATGAATCCTTTAATTGCACTTTCACAGGTAGAGCTGGCCTTTCGTGCTTGACCCGTTCAGAGTAATGATACAAAGGGTTAATATTTCTTACAAGAACATCAGTTTGTATTACATATATGACTGTTGCAAACTTGATAAACCCTTTCTTATAATTCTGATCTAGAATGTTGATATGAATATTACAATTATGCTTATCAATAAGATCCACAATAGTACTAAAGTGTTGCACAAAATTGGCAAACGGAACAACGGATTTAAAGGGAGAAATAGTTAACTGCAGCTAAGATCATTACAGAAAAGCTAAGAGAGTGATAAGAGTGATTTTTCTAAAGTTTATCATGTAACAAAAAAGAATAAAGGCTACAAGAATTAAACTGGAGATTAAAACTGTTGGTAGCTGTTTATGGAATTTGAAAGCAAATACATAGTTGGATATAAGTATGTAATTGATACTTTTGAATAATTGTAGCAAAATGAATGAAGATAGATAGATAGATAGATAAAATATATCTATCCAGCTCATTCCTTTTTAGCTAGAGAAAATATTTTCTTTGATGAAAAACATGCCTCCTGAAGTTCAGTTCAGAACAATGCATACACTGATGAGCAATACCTTCATTATTACATATGTTCTTTTCCTCAGAAATATTTGTAACAATTTACAAGTTTAAATGTTTTAAAAACATAAGGGAGAACTAATGGGAACTTACGCAACCTCTTCTAATTAGAACAAGTATACATCAGGGTTTGCTATTTCAATATTTTCTGGTGTGTTTATAATGTTTATAAATATAAACAGAAAGGTGTACAATAAAATAGCTTTTGCAAAAAAAATTGGTAAGCTTGCAAACAACTATTAGATCAAATGAAATAAATATTTGGGAAAATGAAGAACTGGTAGGTATAAAGAACTGAAGCATTCAATACCCAAACATTAGAGGAATATCAATATTCCAGCAACCTACCTCAGCAGTGAGGTATTCAAGAATTGCAGCACTGTACACTGCAGCTGTAGCGCCAACTCTTCCATGGCTTGTGGTGCGAGTCTTCAAGTGTCTGTGGATACGGCCCACTGGGAACTAGAAGCAAAAGGACTTGTTTAGCATAGATGCCCTTTCAAGAGGCTTTAACTGACTGTCCGTATCTGTGACCTATTTCCAGAGAGGTAGAAGGCACTTGATCCAAGCATACCCTATAGTAATGTATAGTCAGGATGTAAGTGGCTGTTTGTTTTTACACCAGACAACCAAATGCCAAAGTACACAAGTACACTATTACTGGAATTGCAACTAAGAAAATGACACAATTTATTTGGCAGGGTTCAAGGTGTAGCCATAAAAATCTGGAGTTGTCTGGTATAAGATTTATTGATAATGTTGGCTAACTAGCATTGACTTATTGTAGAAGGTTAATTCATTCATAAATGGATATAGTTTTTTTAACTTTAAAAATATTAATTTGTGTTCTACAAACCTAAGGCTATGCAACAGATCTTGCAAGATCACAGGATTAAATCCCACATCAAAGTAATATGAGGTATAAACACTACTTTATAATACCACCAGAATGCTTTTACTGTAGGAAAGAACATGATTTGGCAAACAATTTTTTTTACTAACATATTCCAATTTCCAAATTCCCATCAAGAATTAAGATGCCAGTCTGTGTTTATGGCAAGAAGAGGTTCCTCCTTATTGCTACTTTGTTATGAGTCAATAAAAGAACAAAAACCTGTACAAAGTCCATATATTTGGGGATTTAACTATAAACAGCAAACAGCTGGTGCAAGAGAAGGGAAACATTCTTTGGGCCGTAGCTTCTGAAATAAGACTAAAATATGGCATTAAGGAGCTTCCTCCTAGAAACTAATGTAACATTTTGGATAGGTAAACTTAATTTAGGAACCCAGAGCTCCTGAATGAGGACTGTTTTAGTAAAGACTAAGGAGAAGTCTTTTCTCTTTCTTAAAAGATGTATGTGGAAGCCAATGAAACAGTTACATTGTAGACAGGTCCAAAACAGCCTCCTGAACTTCAAAGATCTGCAGAAGCAAAACTCTGATGGAAGGCCAAGGAATCAGCAAGGAGGATGAGCTTCTTCTTATGCATGGCTGCAACTGCTGGAGAACAAATATCTTCCTGAGAAATTCTTCTAAATACCCAGTTCAGTGAAGCATATTTCTTCCTCAGGTGCTGTTAGGCACAAAGTACAGTCCTGACTGCTTTTAAGTTCTTGTTGCAAGCATTCTGATCTGGGCTTCCTCCTCTGACATCTGACCTGGAGTGTCTTCTAGAGGAGACTTAGGAGAGTATTTTTCATTCTCCTGGGTCACAGTGCATGGATAAAGAAATGTGGAATCCCCTCTCTAAAGAAAATCACTTGCCTTGGATGACTGGGTCACTGTTTTAGGACAAGCGTTCAGATATATAAAACAGCTTAAGTTCATTTGGTGGAGAGAAAAAGCACTGCTCACTTTATTCAGCATCTCTTAAGTGTCTAAAGGCAGATCATCTTTACACAGCTGAAAATCAGACTGAGCCTTTGAATGGCACGAGGAAGAATCCAGTCATGCATAATTTTTTTCATTTCTGTTGCATTAAAAAATATAATCTGTTGGGGGGGGGGAGCTTCCACAGGTTAGACCTAAACCCTATGGCCTAAAGTTGTCCACCATTACCACCAGTATGGAAACATCTTTGCACATCTTCCCTCTAATTAATGACCAACTGAAAAGCCACATAGACTAGTTTCAGGCTCTCAAAATTCTGGGCAACCACCAGATGCTGCCATCTAGTGCCAATTGAACTTTTGCAGCCCAGATTTGATAGCTAAAAAAAGGCAACTTTCTGTTGACAGAATATAGCATAAGGAAAACCGATGAAAAAGAAACTGCAAGAACTAGTTAAAAAGAAAGCCAAGTTGCACTCCAATCACCTGGAAAAAATATCTACTAAGACTTGGTTTACTACAGACATAAAACCAACCAGAATGTTTTTTTAAGTGGCTAGGACAATATAAGCCAAACCATAATGGGGCTTAATTTTATATGTCAATCAACCTTGGAAAAGAGAAGGAGAAGGAGGCAGTTCCAGCCTTCCTTCACCCAGGTAAACAGACTTTTAGAGATGCTTAAGAATTCTGTCTGACTGAAAAAGCAATTAAAACAATATATTACAAAATTAAATAAGTTAAATCAGCATGGTTGGCTGAGGAATTCTGGGAGCTGAAGTTCAAAGGTCTTGAAATTACCATGGTTGGACACCCCTGAATTAAATAATATATAATGAATGCTTCTATGCCCCAAAGAGAGAATGCCATGCTTCCCAAATTTAATTAGGTCCGTGAGAAAATACAAATAAACGTGTCTGTGAAAGGCTGCCTGAAAACTTACCTGAAGTCCAGCTCTTTGTGAGCGAGATACTGCCTTTGCCTTGGCCTTTCCACTGTCTTTGCCAGCCTTGCCTCCAGCCTACAAAAAGCGTAACAGGAGATCAGTCAATCCTAGCGTGACTTCCATAATGCCCATTGTGTTACTACTTTTGAAATGCATGTCACATGTTCAAATTTAGTAATGACCTTTCTCCAACTCATATTTAAATCTTAATGGAATTTTTCAAAAGGAAGTACATTCTTCAGACTTTTCCTCTCACAATGCAAACATGCAGACAAAAGTATTTTGGAAAAAAAAAAAAAAACAGGATCAAACATTGGCCACAAGTAAATCTAGGCATATATCCAATTTAATACTGTAAACATATGTAAGCATGTATATTTTGGGACAATTAATTCAAGAAAGAGTTTTAGGACAGCAACATTAGCTTATGTTTACACTTACAAACAATGGCTGATTCTCTCAGACAACCAACTTTGCAGGTTGGTTTGGTTTTGTCCAAGATCAAGTCACAGAATTTGAAAATATAGCACATCATTTGTACATGCATAACTAACCATTTATACATATACTGTATACATAACTTATATATGTAAGAAAAGAAAGCCTATAATATTAGTTCTGGTTTCTCTTCAAATCACATAAATCACATGACACAATTATTGTTGTGGAGTAAAAATGGACTTGAGCTCTTACCAAATTCAAAACCATTATATTGTTCTATTATTTGAGTGGAGAGGGTTTTTCATCCTGGTCTAACCTACAGCCCAGGAATTTCTTCATGGTCTTATAATCTAAGCATTAACCAGGTCTGACTCCGTATAACTTTCTGAGATGGGCCAAAATCTCAGGAAGTTGCAGGACAAAACCAGCTATTTTTAAACAAAATCTTATACATGTCAAAATATCATATCTATCCAAGCCCTAAAACTATGTTTTAATTTTATTATTTTTACTCCTGCCCCCAAATTAATCTAAGTGGATTCTTTTACTAAACTTTTGCTCATTTTTTTCTAACTGTATATGGTTGTTATGAAATGCATGCAGGACAAGACTTGAAGCCAACACACAGTGAACCTTTTTTTCCATTTTCATCCTTTGTGCCCAAAGAAGATAGTATGACTTTCAAAAAAACAATTCATTTAAAAGCAATTCATTCTCCAAAGCTGTTGGTTACTTAGTGTTGCTTATTTAGTGTGACTTACAAGCATAGATACAACTTGCAGCTGTTCTCAATAGCTGTTGGCTGTACAGAGAGATAAATTAATGGGAACAGTTATGAACATATTAACCTATTTATTCACATATATGTGAAATGGCCCATATTGACTTTTTATTTACATGTATAGTACTGCATTATTCATTTACTTGATTTCTGTAGCCACTCAATTCAACAAGTGACTCTTACAACCCCAAATCCTCTTATTGTTGCATCACAATGTTCCAAGCAAGCATAGAACATTTAATAGTCTCTTTGCCTTGGATTTGGGGAAAATTAAAACACATTTACCAATCTTCTTACACTTAACATTTATTGCATGTGTGTGTGTGTGTAAGAATACACTGGAATTAGTCCCAACCAGAATATTCTCTGCAATTGCATTTTCCTCAAGCATTCTTTTTTTCATTACTCTCACATATTTTTTCCCCAAAACTTTCTCCCCAGATCTGCTAAGCAAAACATCTCCTACTACAATTATTGGATGAAAAGCTTATTATTTCATTGCTAACAAAAACAGAGAAGAAAGCAATTTTTAGCTTATATAAAGCTGACTGTTTTTTCTACACTGTTTATCCTTCCAAACTCTAAATACAGGCAGTTCTCCACTTATGTCATTTAACAGCATTCAGAGTTTTTTTAAAAAAATATTATATAGACAATTAAAATTGTGCAAAGTCCTATTTTTAATGACCAAAATTTCCATTTGTCTCAAAACACTCCTGTTGCATCACTGGGTATTATTCGTAAATGTCTGCCATGAAATACATTTGAAGAATGTTCAGATCATGAGATTTGATTGAACTATAATTAAGTAATAACCATAGTTACTTTATCAAAAGATAATGAATAATTTCACATAAGTAGCACATAGCTGTGGATGTTACTAAATTACAATTCCAAGTAGGCTCAGTGAAGAGCAGCAAAGGATGCTGGGAAATTTCTACAATTCTGAAAAGCTATCACTGTGCAATCATATGAAACCCCCCCCCACACACACACATTCAAAAACAAGATATTCACACATTTCACTTTGCTTCCAACTCTCAGATATAGATTGTTGTAGTATGCACACTCTCCAGAGACAAGGTCTTATCTCATTTTGACATTTGAGCTTTCCTAAGTTAAGTTTGCCTTTTTAAAAAACAAATATTAGCATGTAAATGTCCACATTTCTCGTATTTATCTAGAGAGCTGTTCAGCCTAAATACGCTCCTATATATAATCAACAATTTATGTTATAGAGACTAATTTATGATAATGCTGATCACTTATAAGAACTTTTGAGGATATTCTTCCTTTTGGTCAGCTTAGGCAGGTGGTAGCAAAAAGGGAATTTTTAAGAACTATGACTACTTACCTTCCAAAGAGTCCTTTCACCCAGGAGATTTGTTTAGAACCAAGTACATCAGAATTTAGTTTAGGAGATTTTTCTTTTTTAATTACAATTTCTACCTGGCTGATTCTAACCCTATCAACCTTTTCCAGAAGTCTAGCTATGCAGAAGCTTATCAGTTAACAGCAGCTATGTCTAAAAAGGAGGTCCTATATCAGACATCAACTTTTCCCAGGCTACTAGAATCACCTGAAGAGCATTCAGCACCAGGCTTCAGCAATATTGTCAAAATGACACATTCATGCATAAATTCCACTTTTTATTCATGCAACACCAAAATGCACATACAAAGTGGGGGAGCTAATTTCCTACTTTGTACACTTGGAACTGCAACCTTGTATAACTTTCTCTAAAATTATTCTTGTATCACCCAACTTTTTCATATCTTGCCTCTTTACACTTCCCACAGTTGTTACATGTGCAAATATTACTCACTTGTGCAAAATGCTATAAGAAATCCTTTTTCTGGTTATGCAATTTTTTCATCATATGAGGGGAAAGAGTTTATTAATAAATACAAGTGACAGTGAATTATCAAAACATCAGTTCTTTAAGCCCCAGACTAGATCTTTCTTTACATCAAATAAGGACATGAATGTCAAAACTCCTGTTCAAAACTCAAGCAGATGGTCAGTTTTACTTTCCCCTAATTAGCCTTCCTTGCATCCATTCTTCAAGATAAGCTTTAATGGTAAAAAATATTTAATTCATGTGCAGATAAAAATGTGTCCCAAGTTAGATTTTGGGCTACAATATCCTTAATTGCTGTCAGCCATTAGTATCAGTACAGCAATTATTACAATTAGTTTATTAATCTGCAATAGTGAAATAGTCAAATAGACTGTTGCTGCATTCTATCCTCTAAAATACAATCCCAGACCAGACTCCCTAAATACACTCCTAAACCCAATTTACTCTAATATGCAATGTTAATTCTAAATATAAACAGGCAATTGCCAAATTGTTTATTTTTGTAACACTATTATTGAACCTACTCTAATTTTATAATTTTAAGCATAGATACAAGACAGATGACAAGGGATAAACTGACTTGTAAAACAAGATTTAAATATATTTATTTTCAAACAATACTGAATATATATCAAATTAAGGGGGGCTGTATAAAGGTCCCATTTTAGTACTATCTCACAGTGATAGTTATGATTGAAAGTTTGTTGTAAAAATACAATGAAAACAGTTTTCTAATGGCCAATCTACTATTAGGTGCATCCTATTCTAAAATTATTGGATAAATTAGCTACTACCCAAGCACATGCAGCGGGATGCAGGCAATAGTATATTGTTTTTGCAAGATAGGCTCTAGATTCAAGGTCCTAGCTTCCAAAAATAATAGTGTAAATGTTCTTGGCATAAAACAGGAATTTATTTCATCCATCATACTGGCTAAAATACCCAACAAGTCAGCAATACTATCCTCATCATATACAGAGAATGCTCCATGCAGTGCAGATATAATGTAGGTGGGTAACTTAGTCTAATTCTTTAAATTCCTAAAAATATAAAGAAAAAATCTTGATTAACCAACACCAAGTCTCAATTTTTCATATGTTCTGGTGGTTACTATATAGGACCATGTACACTAAACTATGGGCCTATATAGTATCTGCATAACATGGAAAACTGAGACTTGGAAAGCAAATGAACTAAATGGTAAACAGCATGAATTAGCAAATGAAAAGAATGAAAGCAAAATAGATACCTTGTGTACTTGTGAAACTAAAAGAAATATAGGTTTTGTTATGAATGAAAGTGCTAAAAATATATCAATAAGTATGAATAAGTAGCATCTAAACTGTGGATGCATATGAAACAGGAATTCTTATTGGGGAAAACACAGTTGCATGCAGCATTCTAATGACCAGTGATAACGAAAGAACCAAAGATGAATTTTGGAAAAAGTACCCAACATTCTGAATAAATGCACTCATGGTGAAAAAAAAAACCCATGATTTTGATGACATAAAATGGAGAGTTGGAAACGAGTTCAAGACAGTAGAGATTGGACTATCTGGAAATCTATGAATGAAATTACTGGTTTGGTATTTGATTAAAAAAAGATGTTTGTTTTAAATACACAGTTTAAGAACTGCATTCATAAGTACACACAGAAGGAATGAATATAAACCTAGAAGTATTTTTGATTATTCATAATGAAAGACTAAAAAAGCAATGAAAGCTATGTTGACGAGAACTTTTGAATAGGAGACATTGTGTTAAGAGTGGATTTTTGAAAAAATGGATATGAAAGAAAAAGAAGACCTGAAAGAAAGTAGAATGGCCATATGAAAAGAAAGCATGGGTTCTGTATGTAAGAAAACAGATTAATTTCCCTAATGAATGTATAGAAAGTAAATTTAAGGAAAGAGGATGTGGAAGCAGCTTGTAACAAGAGTAGAAATATTATAAATTGCTACATAAGCATCTGAAGTTATACAAATGAGAAATATGAAAAATGTTTGGTGGAATTATGAAGCCTCTCAGGCTATAGGCAAGAAAAAGTGCAAAAAAAAAAAAGAATAATTGTTGTGAAAAATGAAGATGAAAGATATTGTGTAAAGCATATAATGACAAAACATATTGCTGCAAATAATATAGTTAGAGAAAGGAATTATTTTCTCATATCAAAGGCCAAAATACACAGTAATAAAAAACTTATATAAAAATAAAAAAGTATATATATTTAAAGTGGCAATGAGAGAAGTGAAAGGAATGGTGTATATGGGAGTGTTATTGTTATGTCGAAGTGTGAAGTTGAACCAAAAGCTGTAACTGTGACTGTCAAAGAAAAAAATGGTTGAGAAGAAATTCCCAAACACTGGATGTTGAAAAATGATAAGACTGCAGCTGTTGATGGCATAATTGGGAAAATCTTAAAATGTGGCAGTGGTTTATTTATGGAATGCCCATGCAACTTTTTTTAACATGTGAAGACTGTATCTAAAACAATACATTACAGAAGTGAAGCATGTGTGAAAATAGATGGAATGTTTTATAGAAAATTAAGTATAAGATGAAAACATGTGATATTTCTGTGGTGAACATATTTATGCATAAATGTATGATACACTTATGGTACTAGCAGAGATGCTTTAACTACATACGCAAACATGCATGCACTTTTCTCTGCGGATGATGGCATGTTATTAGCTGAGAATCGAAATTATTCTCAACAATTGACAGAAAGACTGCATGATGTAACAAGTAATGTTATCTCAAAATTACATATCAAAGACAAAAATGTAAACTTGAATGCAGAAAGTTTGAAGATGTGCACATATTGGCAGAAATATAATGGATAGTAATATATGACTTGTTGTAATGAATATGTATCAAAAACCAAAACCAGCCTGTGGTCATATTACTATCAAAAGATGAGAACTGAGTCTGTAGGAACATTGAACCCCCCAAAAGTCTAAAGCAGGGTATAAAGTAAAATGTGAAGAGAATGTACTGGTGCTGAATGAATTAGAATGATGAACTGCCAATATAAACATTAAGGTGGCATGGTCAGACAGACCAAATGTATGAAGATCAAATCCCAAAGCAAACGTATAAGAGTGACTGAATGGATACAATTGAAAAAGTTGTTGGTTGGTTAGATGGAGTTGATGAAACCCACACGAGGAAGATGTGAGACAAGCTAAAGAAACAAAGAGCATGTATGAAGTGGTGGTAGAAGCAAGGATGGCTTAGACTAGAGAAAGTTATGAGAATGCAATTCATGACCGTATAAATTTTCTTGTCTCACATTATTCATCTATCGTCAAAACAATCTATTTCTCACTCCCCTTCTGCACTTTGCAAGTAACACAGAATACCATTGTTGTACATATTATCTACACCAGGGCTGTCCAATTTTGGCAACTTGCGCACTTCAGCTCCCAAGCTGGGGAATTCTGGGAGATGGTCCACAAGTCTTAAAGTTGTCAAAGCTGGACACCCTTGATCCCAGATGTTCTACTTGCTGCAAGTTATTACAGAAATCATATTGCATACAAAATTATACTTAATACGTAAGTGATTTTTTTCTGTTTTAATTGCAATAGGCGCGCGAACAAACCGCTTTAAACTCAATGTAAATTGAGTTCTAAACTTGACTGTAAAAAAAATTAGGATTTCTGCAATAAGAGTTGTCAGAGTCTGGAATGCCCTACCTGATCCAGTTGCCTCAGCTACAAATTTTCAGTTTCAGTCACAAATTGACTTCCAGGGACCTTACTTCATACGTAAGGGGGGGTCCGTAGAGGGGGCGTGCATAAGTGCACTAACGCTGCGTATGGGTCCCTGTCATTGTATTTTTATTCTTTTATTCCAATCAATCAATCAACAAACAGAAACCTCAAGCTGGAAAAAAAGTAAAAAACTGCAGCTGCGGTATTTATGAGCCTATTGGGAAGAGAAAGCAGGACACCACCCCCCACATACACCCCAAAAACAAACTTTCCCAAGCAACCCCATGATGTCACCCGCGGGGAACCGAGGGCTTCGCAGCTCAGCCAAAGCGGACGAATATGAAGTATCCGGGATGATGGGGGGGGGGGGGGGGGGAAGGAACCCCCCCCGGCCCCCCGGGGCCGGCCCCCCGGGAGCCAAAAAAAAGGGGGGGGGGGGGGGGGGGCGAGAGGGAGAAGGAAGGTAGGAACCGCCGCCGCCGCCGCCGCGCCACTTCCCTCAGCGGCAGATAGGGGCTGCAGCGTGCCAGGCTGTCACCGCCGCCTTCGGCAGGACCCCGTCAGCCGGGCTCCCAGCCCCGCGCGGGGAAAAAGGCCGACACCCGCCCGGCCGCTTTGGACGTCCCGACGGCCAGCGCCGCGTTTTGAGGGCGGAGGCGCCGCGCGCGGGAAACCGAGGAGCGCCGGTTAGCGGCGTGGCTCGGACCGTGAGGGGGGGGACGGTGGCGGTGGTTGCAAGGCTCTTTTGGCGGGGCGCTGACTGACACTCCAGGCCGGGAGAGGGGAGGGCGAAGGGGGTGGGTTCGGCAGTCTGAGGAGAACCGCGGAATCTTTCTCTTTCTCCGCCCCGGGGGGCCGGCCGAGATGAGGCGCTCCCGGGGCCAAAGGGAAAGGCAGGCAGAAACCTCCCCCCCCCCCCCCCCACCCGCGCGGCGCGGTTAACCGAGAGGCGGCGCTCGCCAAACGGAAGAAGGAACCGCCGCCAACGGCGCCGCTTCACTTTCCGGCCGCCCCAAAAAGAGCGGCGCGCCCGCGGGAAAAGACGGCTCGGCCCGACGCTCCCTTAACCGGAACGACTCCAAACGGAGCGGCGCCGGCTCGAAACCCCCTCACTCAACCCCACTCCGGGGGAGCCGTCCCTCACACGGCCGGCGTGAGGGAATCCCCTCACGAGCTTCCCGCCGAACGGGAACGAGGCTTCCCCCCCCCTCACACACTTCGCTGTGGCCCGCTCGTCGCGCGGCTTTTTCGGCCTTCCTTACCATGTTTGCGTCGCTCCTGGGCGAAGTCCGGTCCCGATTCCGCGCGCGACCCGCCTGCGAAAGTCGAGAGACAATAACCCGCCTGGGCGCGAGGAGGGAGCCTGGCCTGCCGCGGCCACCCCGAGCCAATCACGGCTGCCCGTGCTAGTTTGAACCTCCCGCCTTGACCAATCCAATTAAGGCTTCTTACTTCCTCGCGGAGGCCCCGCCCCGCGGCCCGTTTAACGGCTGTTTTTTTTCCACCAAACACCAACCTTCCCCCCCCTTTGCACACGGCACGTCAGAGCGAGAGCGAAAGGGAGAGGCGGAACCAGAGGTTGCCCCGCCGCCGAAGGGAAAGGGTCGAGTGACAGGTTTGAGCTCCAGTAAACGTGAGGAGAAGCCGTTTTTCGAGGGCGGCACCGATTGAAGGGCAGCGCCAAGAACCAATCGGCAGCAAGCCGAGTTTCCCGCCCATATTGTGACTTTCCCTAACTCTCCCCCCCTGTTTGTTTGCGCGGAGAGGGTTAAAAATGGATCCTGGAGCCCGTTGACAGTTATATTCTTCACACAGGGAGAACGGTGCGCTCCAGCCGGGGTGCTCCATAACTTGATCCCTACGTGTGGGGATAGCAGTCCCGCCGCTGACAGGAATCTCTTCGGGAGGCAGAGCTTCCATTTCTTTTTCCCCGCCAAAAACGGCCTCCTCCATATCAACCTGAGGCGAAAACATCTGACGTTGTGAGGGGAGAGGCCCCGCGGGATCCCTCCTCTCGCCGCCTTTTCGCGGAAGGGAGCCCCATCGAGTCCACCGGGGGAAGAGAAGGAGGTCTTCAGAGAGAAGACGCGCCTAAAAATTGAAAGGGGGTCACGGGGGTTCCCGATACCCTCCGGTGGGGGGGGGTTTGAACTTCAACTCCCATCATCCCCAGCGCCTTCCCCACCCCCGATGCCTTGGAAGTGCCTGGGTGGCATATCCTCACTCGCTCCCTGGAAGGAGAGAAAGAGGCGAGGCGCGACGTCGAGGTGTCCCGGGACCTCGCACGACCGGCAGAGTCGGTCGGGGGTCCGGAATGGCCTCGGGTCTCTTCTTTGAGGTGGGGTCCGACTAGACGACCTTCCGAGGTCCCTTTCCAGCCCTGCGATTCTGTGATAGTAAGGGATGGGACGACTTTTGGTTTTAGTTGTACAGGTAGTCCTCGAATTACACAATGTAGTCCACAATGGAGCCCACAATTTCTGTGGCGAAGGGAAACGTTTGTTAAAGAGAGTTTTGCCTCGTTGTTGCCATCTTTCTTGCCATGATTGTTAAGTGAAACGTTGCACGTGTTTATTTAGGAACAGGGTTGTTAACATTGACTGATACAACCATGATAAATATGAGTTGGTTGCCAAGCATCTGAATTTTGATCACGTGACCGATGGGATGGGATAGAATAGAATAGAATAATGGAATGAAGAATAAAATAGAATAAAGAAATAGGATAAAAATAGAACAGAATAGAGAATATAGAATAGACTACAAAATATAGAATAGAATAGAGAAATAGGATAAAAATAGAACAGAACAGCAGAATAGAGAATAGAGTACAGGTGAAACTCGAAAAATTAGAATATCGTGCAAAAGTTCATTTATTTCAGTAATGCAACTTAAAAGGTAAAACTAATATAAGCAAGATAGTTCAAGCCGTGATTTATCATAATTGTGATGATTATGGCTTACAGCTCATGAAAACCCCAAGTGCACAATCTCAGAAGATTAGAATATTACATGCAATCAATAAAACAAGGATTGTACATAGAACAATATCGGACCTCTGAAAAGTATAAGCATGCATATGTACTCAGTAGTTGTTTTGGGCCCCTTTTGCAGCAATTACTGCCTCAATGCGGTGTGGCATGGAAGCTATCAGCCTGTGGCACTGCTGAGGTGTTATGGAAGACCAGGATGCTTCAATAGTGGCCTTCAGCTCTTCTGCATTGTTCGGTCTCATGTCTCTCATCTTCCTCTTGGCAATGCCCCATAGATTCTCTTTGGGGTTCAGGTCAGGCGAGTTTGCTGGCCAATCAACCACGGTTATTGAACCAGGATTTGGTGCTTTTGGCAGTGTGGGCAGGTACCAAGTCCTGCTGCAAAATGAAGTCAGCATCCCCATACAGCTTGTCTGCGGAAGAAGCATGAAGTGCTCCAAAATCTCCAGGTAGACGGCTGCCTTGACCCTGGACTTAATGAAGCACAGTGGACCAACACTAGCAGATGACATGGCTCCTCAAATCAACACAGACTTTGGAAACATCACACTGGACTTCAAGCATCTTGCAGTGTGTGCCTCTCCATTCTTCCTCCAGACTCTGGGTCCTTGGTTTCCAAATGAGATGCAAAAGTTGCTCTCATCAGAAAAGAGGACTTTGGACCACTGAGCAACAGACCAGTTCTGTTTTTCTTTAGCCCAGGTAAGACACTTCTGACATTGTTTGTTGTTCAGGAGCGGCTTGACAAGAGGAATACGACATTTGAAGCCCATGTCCAGGATCCGTCTGTGTGTGGTGGCTCTTGACTCCAGCCTCAGTCCACTCCTTGTGAAAGTCCCCAACACTTTTGAATGGTCTTTTCCTGACAATCCTTTCCAGGCTACGGTCATCCTTGCTGATTGGGCACCTTTTTCTTCCACACTTTTCCCTTCCACATAACTTTCTCTTAATGTGCTTTGATACAGCACTTTTGGGAACATCCAACTTCTTTTGCAATTACCTTTTGAGGCTTTCCCTCCTTATGGAGGGTGTCAGTGGTGGTTTTCTGCACAACTGTCAGGTCAGCAGTCTTTCCCATGATTGTGATTCCTACTGAACCAGACAGAGACCATTTAAAGGCTCAGGAACCCTTTGCAGGTGTTATGGCTTAATTAGCTGATTAGAGTGGGACACTTTGAGCCTAGAATATTGAACCTGTTCACAATGTTCTAATTTTCTGAGGTTGTGGGTTTGGGGTTTTCATGAGCTGTAAGCCATAATCATCTCAATTATGCCACATCACAGCTTGAACTATCTTGCTTTGCATATAATGAGTCTATCTCATATATTAGGTTCACCTTTTAAGTTGCATTACTGAAATAAATGAACTTTTGCATGATATTCTAATTTTTTGAGTTTCACCTGTAGAATATAGAATAATATTACACTAATCGGCATACATTAAAATGTAATTTCATTGCATACCGCTTTCAAATGCTACAATGCAGCAATTGTCATGTGAAAAACAGTCATAAGTCACTTTTTTCAGTGCCATTATAACTTCGAACTATCACTAACTGTTGTAAGTCAAAGGACTACCTGTGTTTGGTCAACTAATCCTCTTTTTTCCCCAGACAATCCTATGAGATGGGTTCGGCCGAGCAAGAGGGTTTGGTCCCAAGTCATCTAAGGGAGGCCTAAAATCCCAGCCTCCTCGGTTAATGGAGCAGACGGGGAACATAGTTTAAATACTGAGTATATTAGTTTTATTTCAACAATGAAATGAGAGGTTTCAGTCCTGAAAGTCAGCTTTGAAGGACTTCAAAGTCAGCTTTGAAGGACTGGAGCCAAATAGGGCTTTGGATAGAAAAAGTCTTATGCACTGGGCTAAAGAGTATGCCCGTGCTACTGATCAAGCACTGTTTTAATGCTTGCTCCAAAATACCAAAGATAAAGTGTCAAAATCCCACATATTTTAGCCTATTTAGAGGAGGAGGAGAAGGTTATTGTATTTAAACTGTATACAGTAATTGAAAAAAAATTGACTGCACATACTCGTGCATTTCATTTAATTTGGCATATGGGTTGAATGAAATGTTCTTAAACGATGTTCTTAAGTTACTATGTGATAGGAACCCAGCCTTTTGGTCTTCTTAGTTTAAGGAAGTATGCAAAATTTTGCATCAGTGTGTGAATCCTATATGTCTAATTTTATGTGCCTATTTTAAAGAAACCTCCACATATCTGGAAGTTACAATGTTATGACTCGCTATATTAAGCTATTGTTTTGTTAACTATGATTTATTGAATACACCGCAATGTTTGATTCACAATGCTAAGCCACAGGTTTTGGCTTAGAATTCAATCAATGCAGTATATTCATTAAAGCCTGATTAAATTTAACCATGACGTAGTGTGATATGTGAACCTTAAGCAGTTAATATAGTCAAACATTGAAAGCCATCAGACCACACACAAAAATATTGGGGAAGAAAAGTTATTTTGATTGTGTAAGAAATTCTATATATAATCAAATCATATTTAACATTAAAGTAAAAAAAATGTGTCACTAAAGCCCTTTACTATAAATTTAGTCCTTGTTGCAGCAAAAAATAAAACTTTACATTTTTCTTGTTGGGATATAAAGTCTTTTGTTTTCTGTTCTTTTGGTGCTAATTTTGTTTAAAATTTATTCTTTTATCACCAATAATAAAATACAAAACAAAGAAAGAAATAAAATAGACTAAAAACACCCAACACTAACAACAGAAAAAAGGTGTCCAAAACTAGAAAAAAAACTAAATACCCCGAATATATTGGTGCTAACTTTTAAATCATTTTCAATTTGCTTATATCTACAAGTGCAGCACTCCACAATGGATACCGTAGTTATTTCAGTAAAATGATTACTTCTTATGAACTGTCATGCTCCTGGTGGAGTCTGACTCTGAGGAAGAGGAGGAACAGCCAATAGGGAGTGGGAGTGTGGCTCCAGAGGTGGTGGACGAGGCTGGGGAAGGGCAGAGGCCGGCTGAGCAGTCAGAGGAGGATCCAGGCCCATCCCCTGTCCATCCTAGGTCACGCAGGGAGGAGAGGATCAGGGAAAAGCGAGGTCTACTCAAGAGGAGATTACCATGATCCTCCTTGTGGCTTGCAGATGGGAGCTATGTATGTAAGTTTGCAACTGCGCAGTTAGAATTGCTGAAGTCAATTAGTGTTCACCTTGAACTAGGCTTATCTTTGTTGGCGTTCTTCCCATGGACTTTTCTCAGTTATTTTCCTGGAGTTTATAATTAGTTATCTCAGCTTGCTTCAGAACTCTCATCAATGCAGTTGGTTTTGGTTTTGTTTGCCTTCTTATTTACTTTTGTGACTTTAAACTGTGCCTAATAAAATAGTGAAGTCTAAGTTGAAGGCATTACCGGACTTTAATGTATGTTTTGGGTTTGGGG